TTTTCTGTTGTATCATGTTTCTTTGTAATTTTCATAAAAGCAGTCTTACTCTGTCTCTGCTGCGAATGAACTTATTCCAGTGTAGGTTGCGTTCTCTTGAATTGCTTTTTTCTTTTTCATTCTCTTGACTGTATAAAAATGATGACATGTACTGCAGTTAACTAGCATTTAATTTTTTTATTTGAAAGGGAGTATATTATGAAAACCCTCACTTCCCCTTTCCATCAGAAACTGCTGTTTGCACAGAGAGCCCATCACCTTGACTTTTTTTTTTTTTTTTTAACAACATTGAACTCTAGTATTTTTACTTATGATATGAAAGTTTCCCTCAACATACTAAATAAAATTTGCTTTAACAAGTTAGGTTCTTATTTCTTGTGGTAGGAGCCTTCTGGATTTGTAGAGATGCAACAACTGTGGCTGGAGCATGTGCCCCCGTTGAGGGACTTACCCTTTTCTGTCCTCCATCAGTTGTTTCCTCTCTGTGCTGATGGTTATTCCAAAATAATTTTGGAAGAAGTTTAAGGAATAGACCCTGTGCCAGAAATACGTGGTGTGGGGATGTGAGTGAGGACAGGCCCTTTTGCTGCCTGCCTGTTCCAGTGAGGCTGTTCCTGCGGCCCCGCTGTGCAGAGTTGCTGGTCCAGTCTCCTGCAGGGTGCAAGGCTGCCCCTCGCTTCTCGAGGCTGGTGCTGATGGTTTTTAGGAGCTACCTCTGTGAGGCAGGAATCTCCTCTGAAGAAGAGAATACAGGGGAAAAAAGGCAAGCTCTCTGCTTAGTTTGAAGTATGTAGCTGCAGTAGGATGTTAAATGTTGAAGATATTTCTGGTTCAAGAAATGGGCTGGAATTCCCAGCATAGTTTACCACACACTTTATACAAAAATGGAAGGTGGGAGAAGGGATCCATAAGCTGTAGAGGGCACTTTAAATTCATGCCAGATAGCCTGTCCCCTTCTGTCCCCTTGTAACTCTCCTGTTGCTCCATTGCTTCTAAACCTGCACCCGCGGGTGCAGCCAGCCGGAGTACCGGGACCAGAGACGCCTTCTCCACCTGCCAGCCGTGACGGGCCCTTTGAGCCGCTCTGCTCCGCGCGCCCAAACCCGGGCAACACAAATGGGCAAAGGGTTCCCATAAGCTCCCCCAAGGAAAATCTGGTCTTCCAAGCGCAGGAAAGATACGGATCAGATTGCTCTGGCGGGGCTGATTTGTCTCAGAAGGGTGTGGGGGTTTCGTTTGTTTGTTTTTTGTTTATTTGTTTGTTGTCCAGTTGTTGCTGTTGGATTTTGTTCCAGCTCCCATATCGAGGTGGAACAGCGGTAACAAGAATGCTGTCAGTAGCTTAGCACTGCTAGCAGTAATGGGAGGGCAACACCTGCACTGTCTTAGGGGTATTTTTCCCCATTTCACCTGGGATCATTCAGAACACCTTGCTTGTCATCTGTGATTGAATGATTATCCCCATTACAGCTGTCTACCTAGAAAGGTAAAGTATGTTCTTTAAATTCTGATTTAGCAGAGAAAATGTGTAGCAGCATATCCATCATCGTTAACATACTGTTGTCCTCCTCTGTCAAGAAAGTCTCTGACCTGAGGATCTCCTTCACCTCAGATTACTTCCATACCTTACATGCAGAGACTGCTTAAACTTGCAGGTTCTTTTACATCATATATTAAAAAATACTTCTCTAACTACCTGTGCAGCCAAAGCTTCCTTGTTTTTCCTTCTGACATTTACAAATGTCATCCTCGCTCTGGTTTTATCTATTGCAGCAAAGATCTTTTTACTATCCCTTTGATTCAACAACTTTATTCCTCTCTCTGTGTTTCTGTATCTTCTGTATTGACTGCTTACTATTCCTCTCTTGGACCAGGCTCCTGAATTTCTGTTTCATAGTCTGTTCCTGTGTTGCCTGTCACTTTGTGTGCACTTCTGCTGAAACACTGCTACTAATACTTGTTAGTCTGTATTTTTGCACAGCTGTTTTTGTACTTGGGAGGAATGTCCTGCAAGCACCTATCAAACCCTGGCCTGCCTTGAACTCACGTTCAGTGCCCTCCTTGCTGCGGTGTCTCGCTGGGGTCCGCCTGCCGCTCGCGCCGAGCGGGGCCTCCCCTTGCCTTTCCCTGCTGCTGTTGGCCGTGTCCTTGGTTCTCGCAGCCGAAGGGTGGGCAGAGCCTCCTGCAGGGGCGTCCTGGCTTGCGGGGAAGGTGATGGATCCCAAGCGCTGCAGCAAGGCAACTGGTGAAACAGTTATGTGCAAGCCAGGGGCAGCGACCAGTGTTACAGCCCAGGAACTCGGCTATGAACTCAGGTTGGAAAGACAAATTAATAAATCCTTGACAGCTGTGAGTAAGGAAACAGCTCTGTGTAGCTTTGCCTTAGGTCAGGAGAAGACGAGGTCAGTTGGAGGTTGGTAGAATCAGAGACACTGCTGCTTGTGCTGTTGGGGAGAAGAGACTTTGGCAGAAGGGGTGACTGCAAATTCCCTTTCACACCTTCCCTACGAGCCCACCAGGATACGTGGGATTCTTCTCCCTTCAGACTGGGAGATCACTCTGATTTACAGCATTCGGAACTCTGCAAGCTCTGATCTCACCCCCACAGTAAAACAAACTGCTGTTTCTTCATTTTTCTTTCTGCATCATCATCTTTCCAGGTGAGCTCCACAGGCTCCCCTGCTGCTGCACCCAGGCCTAAAGCATCTTTTCTAATACTTGAATTTAAGCCCAGTTTTTATATTACCATAGTTTTTAGGTGTTAGAGATAAAAACTTCAAGGGTTTGGTGATCCTTGCTTTAATGTGAGTTTTGTGACAATGAGAATGGTTGCATATGTTTAAATGATCAATGCAAGAGTTCTATATGCTGAGTACCCAGGAAAAAAAAAACCTGTTTTGCAGAGAACGTATGTCAGGTCAGAATGTTGGCTCTAGTAGCAGGATTTAGGATGGTGGTGAAAAATCTGATGTGACACGTAGATAAATCAAGCTATAGATAGAACCATGAACACCATTAGTGTTGATGGAAATCCAAAGTAGACTGAGTTGCAGAAGGGAAGCTTAGTGACACGGCGCCTGCAGAGCTGCGTGGAGTTTCTTCTGGGGAAGTTTGGGGGTGTTAGGAGGAAGGTTTGACTTGTTCACTGTAGCTAAAAGAACCTCGTGGAGGTAAAAAAACACTTGAAGAAATGAGCTTATGTTAAAGGGATCTGGTTTCTGCAGCGCTGCATACTGCAAATGAGTGTGTTTGTCTTCCACTTTGAGCTCAATTTTCTTAATAACAGGGAGGTTAATTGCCACTAGAAGTAAGACTAAAAGAACACACAGTGCCTATAGCAAATGAGCGCTTATTATCCCAAATGCAGCTGAGTGCACAGACATTTCTGCGCTCTGGCTAATGGGACATATGTTGCATTCTAATCAGGTGATCACTAGTTGCTTGGTGTCTGAAATTATTTTAAACGAGGCCATTTTACTTTAATAACTAACTCCCTCCTGTTTGTGTGGGTTTTTTCTTTTTTTTCCCCCCCTTCTAACTGCTTGTTACCCTCCTGCTTTTGCGAGTGTGGTGGATCCTCTCCTGAGTACCAGATTATGGACTTTGTATGTGAAAGCACCACTTACCCCTGTGGTTCTTCAGACTGCCCATAGCCCAGTTACCAGCTTTTCCTTCGCCGAAATGTTGCTTCCTGTTGTCTTCTGCCTCTGACTGCTCACTGCCTTTTCCCCTAAACCCGAGCCTTGTAAACTTCTTCCTGAGCTAAGTGTAATTCCACTCTAGGTTAAGATCCTATTTTTGTGACATTTTTGCATTGTTTCTTCCTCTTATCTTGCAATACTTGTTTGCATTTTGTGCCTTCATGAGCTCTCTGAGGTTGCTCCACTTTCAGAGGAGAAAGGTCTTTATGACCATCAGGTCTTCATGATTCTGCATGTTGTTTAAATATTACCTAGTCTCATGCCATAGAAGAGGCTATAATTATTTCGACTAGGACGCTAAAAATTCTTCACAGAAACAAAATTCACAGTCACTACTCCAAATATTAAAAGCTTCAGTTATTTGCAAACTCCATCTTTTCCTTTCGTCATTATTTTCTTACCGTACTGATGCTGTCAACGAGACAACTCTGTTGTGTGTTACCAGGAGCCCTGGTCAGCCTGAGTTCACAGTATTTAGTGTTTTAAGGGAAACGCGTGTCTGTGTTCAGGTCCTACATACCTAAATGCATTATAGTTGCAGTTCTTTCTGGTCAGTCAGTCATTTTCTCTGTGATAATGACAGTCCCTTGCTTTTCAGTGTATTGTCACTTACCGAAGCGGAGGCTGTTGGCACGTACCCCTAAAGCAGGGACACCAACTTTGCCCTTGCAGTGCTTGAGATGGGAGCGGGTTGACTGAGACCAGCCGTGACCGAGACACAAAACCCTACGTGCTGATGTTCACTCTTCCACGGGCAGGATTACATGGCAGCTTTGGGCGCGGAGCTGCAGCCTGAAGGAGCCCTCGTTACCGCCCTCACCCCGCTCACTTTCATCTCTGCTGGGCTTGGATGGTGGCAGCTTCTCCTCTCCTGCACGGGTCGTGCCCAACACAGATCCCTGCAACGTTCATGTCACCTCTCTGAGCTGGGCTCTCTGGGCTTGTTTCTAGCACGGGCCACAGCTGAAAACTCGTGTTTGACTGGGGAGCAGCCACGATGCCTTCTCCCAGGCGCAGGGCAGGGGTGGGCAATGATATAAAACTTGTGTGTGTGTTTTTTTTTAATAATAGGTAGTGAATTTTCTAATGTATTCAGTAAGTCAGATGATTTTAAAGGATTTGTGAATATTCAGAGATATTAAAACACAAGTCTTTAATGAAAAATGCAGAGAGTGATATCACTCTTAAGCCAGGCAGATGCAGTGTACAATAGCCTTTCCTTATAGTTTCAGCTGCCACACTTATTCCTCAGTCTGACATTACTGGGGCA